TCGAGCGAGGAGGAGCCGTCGCGATAATACCGCCCTACCCCCCTCCGGACAGCGGCGCCGCGTTCCGGTGACAGCGGCGCGGAGATCGATATAATGGAAGGCGATTGTGCGTTGACTTTGTTTGCGCACCGTGCGGAGCGTGTGCCAAACGCGATTTCGCGCGAATTTTCGAGCCGCGATCGATCGCCGCGTGCCGCTGACAGCCACGTGCCACGTCGAAATCACGGCGTGGCAGCCCGCGCGACGTATTTAGGCCGTGCCGCTCAAGACCGAAACTTTAATACGCTTTTAATACATCGACGTTTCTAAAATATTCGCTTTTCCAACTCGATTATATTGATGGGAAAAAAAAGAGAGACCCCGTCCACTCGGGGCAAGTTGGACCTCTCGGAGTAATTAGTGTACCGCCTAATTGTTTTATAATATCTCGTAACTTCCTGGCAGCATTGCGATTTGTTAAAGCATATCGATTTGAATAAATATTCATTTCACACGCTCGATATACATTTGTATCAACATTATCCATACCCGATAATATTCATATTCGTTATAAGAAATACGTATGTCTATATCGTATATGACTATACGCGTTCAACTTAATAAATAAAATAAATTATATTGTTATTAAACGGTAGGTATAGCTGTGTGGATATTCCTAAAATATCGCAATCGTCGCATTATCGATCTTCGGCAATTAGAAATAGCGTGAGATTAGTCCGGATATCGATTGGCAACAGATAAGTATAGACAAACACGGAGAGACCACGTGGAGTCTCTGGATATCGCTTAAATTTAAATCCCGCAACGAATCGATCTGCAAACGGAGCGGACAGTGTACACAGACGAACTGTGATACCCACTCGGAAGTGCCTCCTCTTCGTGGACTAACTTTACTTTCTCGATTCTGTTTGCTGTTTCGATCGTAGAATTATTTATCGACTCTACGCTCCCGATAATAGAAGAATCTAATTATTTGACGTCGCCTGCAATTTAATCTCCCGCGCGAATTACACGCAAATTCATTATGCAATTCTAAACTTGATTCCATTGCCCTTTTCGACGCAGGATTTATGTATAAATGGGTACGATAATATGATCGCGTCGAGATAATATTGTTACGCGAGACGACCGGGATAATGACGAAAGGGGGATATAGTTTTGGTGGCTCACCGTGATGACCGTGCACGTGATGCGTGTCCGGCAGCGGTTTGCCCGACAGGTAGTCCTGCTTGCAGACAAACTTGTTGTCGTCCAGGACGTAGAGCTCCTCGCCGGTGCTCATCTGCTTCCGACACACCAGGCAGGTGAAGCAATTCAGGTGGAAAACCTTGTCCCTCGCTTTCCTCACGAGGTCCTGCGGGTTTATCCCTTGGAGGCAGCCGCCGCATTTGGTGCCGTATCGCCTAGAAGGACATAATACAGATTTATCGCTGGTGAGCCGATGAAAGGGCGGATAATGAGCGCGTGGGTGTCCCAAGTGCCGAGGAGCCCGTTCTTGCGCTCCGCAAGGAAGCACAATTCTTCCAAGGAAAAACAAGCTCATCTTAATTCTCTTGCAGCGAATTCGGTTGCTTGCACCGAGTACACGCACTTAAGGGTTGTTTACGGTCAATTCTTATATTTAAGAATCATCTTAGAAATGAAATACTTTTTAGCCAGTAATATGATCTATACTGCATCCGCACGAATCCTTTTTTGCTAGATAGTTTTTGAACGTTTATTTAAGACGATCTTAACTATAAGAATTGACTACGAACAAGTCTTGGTGCGCACTCGGTGCAAGAAACCTAATTCGCTATTAAGCCAGTGACACACGATACTATTTTTTCTACTGGCTTGCTTACGAAAATCAATAAGGATGCACAGTTTTAAATCAGGTGACTTAAAGCTTAAGCCAACGGCACACGGTACTATTTTTCCTACTGGTTTGCTTACGAGAGTCAATCAGGATTTAGCCTCAAGAGTCACGTGGGCTTTAGACTCTAAATATAAAAATTAACATCGCAACGCTCGTTGAAGTGCGAACCGAGACTGACGACGCATGTTAATAGAAATTAAAGTGCACGCCAGATTGACCGTGAGACCGAAACGTCGCTCGTCCGGTGTCAGCTGCGAGTTGGCGCCACGGCGGAATTTCCGCGGGGGAGGGAAATTTCTAAACTATAGCTAGACTACAGTAATCCTGTTTAATTTTCCAATTTTTCTCCAAAACTCATCCAAGTTGGAGACGCCTCGCGAGATTGTTAAGCAAGATTGGTATTAAGCATAAAAGGTAAAACCGAAGGAAGTTAATCATAAGTGTACCTCCGATTCCGCAATTTTTCGCACTTCCCCTCTTTTTCGCGCAGGCATGCCCTATCCCGCGACGTTGTAATTTCACCGTGGCGCGTTAACGCGAACCCCTAATCATTAAACCGCAAGTATCGCCACGCAGCGTGTTATTATCACACGTACGACGCGGCTCTCGGTCATTTTTTTCCCGCGGGTTGCCACGGATCATATTTCTCAGCTCGATAACAGGCCTTTCACGGAAAATAGCGAGGCGCGATCTTTTTTAATCTGCAATTTACGGCGCGAAACTCCGTGGCGTCGTACACCGAAATTATTTTGACGTCGTCCACGGGAAGGGTTGGCGCACGCCGCGCTCGATAAATGCCCCCCGACTGCTCGAGTTGACCGTAGAGCGGCTATACTGATAGAATGTGAAAGTTACAAGTTCCGTTTGTAACTCAGTCGGACCGCAAATGTCGATGAAAGAAATACAGCGCTTTTAAAGAGATGGCGGTTTAATGTTCCGATCCGGCATAAAAGAGCCGAGGCCCTACCGTGTCGTAAAAACGCGCGCCGCCGGTCCGCCCGATATTTTTTTCTTCCTCGCCGTATCGTTAAGCACCTTGCTTTTTTCAGACGCCTTTCTGATCTCTCGTTAAACGTTCCTCCACTTCGTCGTTGCGTCATCGAAAACTTAAATCATCCAAGTGTTACCACGACTATTGTACAGATGGGCCCTCGAGAGAGAGGGATGCAAAATTATTAATGAATTGAGCAAATCATATTGTGAAATTGTAATGAACGATTAATAGAGGAAAGTCCTCCATTGTGAGATAGGATTCTAATACGAGACAGCAGGTTTTCAACGTCCAAATTCAATCACAAATCAATTGCCCACTAAGCAGATTTCACTCCAAGGGCAATAAATTCATGGTGGAACCAACAGGCGATGCCAGTTAACTTATCTCCTCCTATATTAGCAGCCTGTCTCATACTAGAGCACTTTCCTCTACATAAAACTGACCGCACTCAGAAAATCGAAACAAACTCGAGAATTATATTATATAAGAGAATGTTAGACAGTTTTCCTATGTGTGTGCGTTGTCAAAATAAAACTCTTAATAAAAGAGTGAAATTACATACATCATTTAAAATTATACAGTTAAATATATAAATTATTAAAATTATAAGATTATGGGGGAACCGAAAGACTGGGCAAACTTTCGCAACTTTTCCGGCCGGCGCGTTTCTGAACCGAGCCGGAACAATCGTCAGATATAGGTATATCTGTGACTGTATCATTACGGTGGCAGAAGCCACACTCTTCTAACTAGCAATCCGGATCGATCTAACTATAGCAATCACGCAATTAATTATAGCAATTAGCCGGGGCCCTTAGGGCTGGCGTGTTCCAAGGAGCGGACGTCTCAATCGATCCCCCTCTCCATCTCGTCGTCGTTATGCCAACAATAAACAAGTTAAACGCGGATGGCAGATCGCCGAAGAGATCACGAAATCGGTCGCTTATTAGCAATTCGGTAGGGCGATACTTATCGACCTTTAGCTTTCGATACTTTGTAATCTACGCCGTTAACAGCATCAATCAAAGGAGCGGAGATTGAAAATCATAAGAGTTAAGCGTTATCTCGCAAGTAAAAAAATGAAATATCCTCTTATAAATCTTTTTTTCTCCCGTAAACTCACTTTTATTATCGCAATTTATTTCTCGTATTGCACGCTACATTTCCGTTTAACTGTGAAAAGCAAATTTTGTTTTATTATCATTTGCGATTTGGTTTTAAATCCACGCAGTCTTTTGTAAATTTAATTTTTAATGTCTACTTCACAAATGGCTACTGAAATTTCAACGTTATCAATTCCTCACAATCGTTTAGTTTACAAACGTTAAAATGGACTTGTAAAAAAAAAAGAAACAAGGAAACGTATGTAATATACAGCGCGTGCCGTGATATTAATTGCAATTTTTTTTTCAACTTGGATTTCTCATTCAGCACAGCGTTATTATCGCGCAATCGACCATAAAAAGTACGCGCTACCCGTAAAGCGCGTAGAAATAGGAGGCGCAACGCCGGGGAGCCGTGACCCGGACGCCGCTTGAGAGTCATTGTTAGCCTAATTGTTCTCGGTGTACCTGACGGCCACGGCGCGCTCGCGCCTAGGTGCGGTGTGCATCGACGTTTGAGCGCACAATAAATCCCGCGGAATCTCCCTTTATTGACTGCTGCCGGGTGCCGTATCAAGCGACCCAATTCGCCGCGCTTTATTACCAAGTGGACGCGCGACGTCCGACGGGAATGCAAGTGCAGACCGTCTCTCGCGATGTGTCGAGGAAGAGAGAGGGGGGAGGAGAGAGAGAGAGAGAGAGAGAGAAGAAAAAATACAAAAAGAAACGCGCTCGACGACCTTAAGACCTGTGTCCACGATGCTAGAACTTACAATTAGTCCCAGTTCTAGTTTCAAGAAATGTGTAGCCAATCAATTTGCAGCTATTCCATAAAAGCTGCAAGTTGATTGGCTAAACATTTCTTGGAACTAGAACTCGGACCAAATTCCAGCATCGTGGTTGCAGGCCTTAACACTTACGCTCCGTCTTTACCTACGAGTGCCACGTCGTTGATCGATATCAACGAATTCATTGAACCATGCGAAACCATTCAACGCACCTCCAATCCCCGCGTGCAGTATCATCAAACCCATCCAAAAATCGCGGTACGCGTGCAATTCGAATGAGGAAGACTTTCATCTCGCGCATGGGAGGTCAGGTGGATCAACGGAGGGGAATAAAAATATTCGCGATTCGTCACACACGGCAAATTGTGACATGCGAAAGTCGTGCGTGATTGACTGCGAAAGGGCATCGGATGGCTAATTTGCCTCTAATGACAATTAAATATTTCAGCTAGCGGCAGCGCGCCATATAATGCGAACAATGAATTAAACTACAGATGCTAAACGAATTGATTATTAGGACGTTTCGCGAACGGCGCATTTGCGACAGCCAAATAAACGCGAGCGTATTCCTCATTCTTTTCTTTTTTCGCGTGTTACATTCGCACGTACGCGATCCTAATGAGTTTTCCCGGGATTTGTTGCGATATTAATTACCACTGCGCCGCCGCGTCTCGCGTAATTCGACACCATCGCCATTTAACAGACGGATAGATCTCAAATGCGCGTGAAGCCATTGACGGATCGGCAATTATTCATCGTGCTCGTCGCACCCAAGAACTTGACGCAACGCGCAGCTTCTTTCTCTAATCCGCTTCGCATACCGCGAGCGTTTCTGCGAGGTTTCCCACCGCAGCCTTTAACCACCTTTGAAATATTTTACGTCTCGCGGTTGACGTGCATCTCGCGAAAAGGAAGAATGAAAAAGAAAAAAGAGAAAGAGAGAGAGAGAGAGAGAGAGAGAGAGAGAGAGAGAGAGAGAGAGAGAGAGAGA